TGCCCTTTCGATCATTATTGTTGGGGGTCTGCTGCCTGGCTGTGGTGGTCACGTAGCTCCTGCTAGCTCTGCTGAGCTGAGCATGTCATCTGGCACTGCCCTTCCCAGGCTCATGTAAGCAGTGCTCTGGAGGATGCTGTGGAGAAGTGTGCCAGCTCCCTCCCACCTCCATGTGCCAAATGTGAAAAGAGCTGCCACAAGGACACCATCGCTGCTGCTCTTGAGACCTCTGTCTCTGGTGTGGTTCAGTATGGCAGTGGGGCAGGCATCCTAGGCTGCCTTCTGTGCCTCATTTCAGGGCTCAGCTTGGATGGCAGGGAGGGGTGGGTCAGGCATCTTTCTCAGCCCTACAGAAGTAAGTGGTGTACACATCAACCTGTGTCTGGGAAGCTAGCCCCTTTACAGGTCCAGCTCTCAGGGTCATGAGGATTTCTGGAAGGGTTGTCTGACAGTGTTGCTCAGTTAGACCCTTGCCTGACCCTTGGCATGAACATTTCCCCTCTGCAATTGCTGTAATGACCTGTGCCAGCTGGGAGTGTGTGCAGACCAGTCTGAAACGCTGGGCCTGGCAGGTGCCTGTGAATTCAGGTGCCCCGTCTGAAAACAAACCGGTTGTAGTTGCTGATGCATAAAGAAGCCTTCCCTCTGTCCCTCTTTTCCTGCACTTGACATCTGGGGAGAGGAGGTCACAGCACATGTATCTGAGGGGATGCCAGCCTCACAGCAGAGGATTTACCTGCCATTTCTTGCCTGCAGGATTTTTTTTTTTAATAAGGGGTTTTACTCCAATGTATACGTCAATGCACCAAACATTAATATTCATAAGTGCTCATAGCTCTGCTTCAGTCAGTCTTAGGCTTTTAATTCTCTAGGTTAACATACAGTTTCTGTGAGATAGTATAAATCTCATTTGGACAAGTTGTAATTTTAAGTGGTTGGGGAGGGTGGGGGGAAGTGTCTCAATAGCAGGTCTGGTGGACCTTTGATGTGGAGATAAGCCCCAGAATAATCCGTCTTCCTTGACCTGTACAAGAGCACAATAATCTCTTTGAAACAAAACACACCTGGGGAATTGTATCATTTCTGAGACACATGGGGGGTGGGGGATAGGGGAGTGGGGTTACATGAATTAAAAACACACTGCCAAATCCTGTGCTAGCATATATCAGCATTATACCAAAGTGCACCAGGTAAGGATGTGCC